GCGGAATTGAACTACGCATGCAAGTGTGTTCATTGAACGCGCGCTCAAACCGTTCAGTCTCTGAATGGGATTTTCACGTTCAGTGAACGCGCGGTTTCATAAATATATTTGCCACAGCAGCAAAAATGTTTTTTTTTCCGCAGAATTGTGGAGGTTTTGGTTGTTTTCTGGTCTGGGACTGCCTGGGGCCCTGCCTGGACCTAGCTTGGCGGAGCCCGCTTGATGGTACCCAATCAGACACAGCTAGTCTGGGCTACCCAGGATCCAGCACAGGGAAAACACCAAAAGAAATGAAAGAAAGAACTGGGCAGAAAACGGCAAAAAAGCACGGTTTCAGTGTGTTGCATGCTGTCTGCTCTTTTCTTCATCTGTTACGTGAATGTGACGATATATATTTGTGATGGATGGAACAGGGTTCTATTTACTATTTGGCGAATTTTTGACAACACATGCCTACACTCATTGTTACAGTTTCTGGTGGATTGGTTTTGATTGCCTGACACAGCATGCACATACAGATGATACGCATAGTTTCGCCCGGTGCAGGGTCAGGCAAGATTGCTGTGACATTCTATCAGAATTCAAAATGTGGCCACTGGCCATCACTGGGAAGGCCAAGTCATGAGTCCCAGACTGTGCTAGGTTGAGCCGCGCTGACGTTTTTGAATGATTCCCACCATTTGTTTATGTTTTCCACTTTTGCAGGTATGGTCTCCAAGGGCACATAAATTGAAAGGCGCTATCCTCCCGGTAAGGAATGCTCCTTCTGTCTGATTTTTGCGAAATCGCATGGTTGGATATCCAGACGTCTGGCATTCAAATGCCAGATCACTTTGCCTGTTTTAGTAAAAAAAAAAAACACTTACACACTCGGGTGTAGCCGCGATCATCTCTGTTGTAATCACTACAATGACATGGTTTCTGCATCCATGTGTGTAGAGCACTGTCCCTCCCCTCTGTTCCTGACTGCAGGCACCCTCCATTACACTATATGTCCATTTTGCGGCCATGGGTGCCGTACTGAATGCATGGTCTTTTGTGGTGAGCGTTCTTCCTTCATTTTGGCCTGCAATCGACATGCCATTTGTAGGGGGTGTATGGTGGGCATGCTCGATGCCAGCCATCGTGGCATTAATTGTACTGGGAATCCTCAGCTAGGTCTTCCTTGTGTTCATCCCCCTAATCCTTACAATGTATGTCCTCTCTGTCATCAAGGACAGACTCATTCTTGAGCCGTTTCTTATCCTCTCCTTTGTCTTCATCTTTATTCCACACTCTGTACTTTCCCTTTCTTTCCCTTTGTCATTCTTTGTTCGTCTTCTCTCCATCTCTCTTTTCTGTGTTTTATCCCCTCCCCCCTCTGCCCCCCGGGCCCTTACTCTGCCTCTTTCTCACAGCATACAAGTGGGCCATTATGGCACATGGGGATGCAGGCAGCTCGCACTCAACTTCATCGACGTGGCGAGCCTTGTACGTGAGAGGCACGGTGAAGGAGTTGTTAAAAAAAGAATGAGAAAAGTGAATGGTTTAAGTGTGCCCTTCATGCTGGTCTTGTTTTTTTTTTTAACTTTTACCGTTTGTGCCAACATTTTGGTCTTGTTGGTCTGACTCCATCGCCCTTCATGAGAAAAAGAAATGGAAGGCTGGAGAAGTTGTCAGCAAGTACACGCACCACCAGAGGATGAGGCAATGGAATCAGACAGGAGTTTCTTGAACCCAGTCAAAAAGGAATGGAAAGCAAGCTGTTGAAAAATCTATAGTTGGAACGGCAACGGTCTAGGCAACATAGCGACTGAAGAGGACAAACTCAATGACACCAGCTGAGGTCTCATAGAGAAGGATAGAACCAGACCTGACGTCATCTTACTACAAGACACCCACCTATCAAACCTCACCAATCTCGAGAAAGGGCCTCACCACACCGCTCTCGAAACAAGTGCACCTCCCTGCAGAGAATGGCAAGCTGCCTCCCTTACCATAAATAGCAACGGATGCATCTTACCACTTTCTGGGGAACAGGCATTCGTTCTTTTTCTGTTTCCACAGTGGTGTGGCGAGGCCTAAAATCAGGAAGACAGTGGAGAAGAGTCTAGGTGGTTGCTCATTCTCTCCATGGTTCAGCAAAGAAGGGATGAGTAATCGGGGAACATCGGTCCTCATTCCAAGTTCTTCCAAAACCCTAAAGGAAGGGCAAATTCTGAATAGTGAGGGGAACGGATCTGAGAGTAGGTGCTCCTGGATGGATTTAGTATGGCAAGGGGAAGAACTGAGACTGCTGAACATGTAGCGCCCAATTCCGAGAATACTAGAATAGAGTGTTTTTTTTTTTTTTTTTTTTTTTTTTTTTTTTTTTTTTTTGTTGACAAGGGTCAAGGCACTCTTACCAACACCCAACGCGCATTCACAGCAGGCGACTGGAACACGGCTCTTCACCCCAACCTGAACCGCATTTCACTATCCTTGCTGATAGGGTCGACACGAGCAGGTGCTCACTTCCAAAATTTAGTGACGGAATGCCAACTCATTGACGCCCTCCGAACTCTCCATCCAGACAAAAAGGCTTTCTCCCTAGTTAAGAAGAACTGAGCCAACCACACCTTCCCTTCCATAATCTAATTTCAGAGTAATTACAAGGAACAGGCGAAGTAGCTGAGGTCTTATCTGCAACCCCATTCCAGGATGTGCACCACAAACTAATCTACCTGCTCCTTAGATTCCGCAACCCTGTAGCCAAAGGACAAGGCTTTTAGAGATTCAACAACTCTCTCCTTTCCTTGGACCGCGTAAATGAAGCAGTGAAGTGAAACTGGCTCTTCATGAGACAGGAGGCAACAAGACAGCTAGTCATGCCTCACGTACAAAATATTTGAAGAATTTGTATGTGGGTTTTACTCTGGTACGGAGATTGTACACCCTGTTGTAATCCGTTGTAGGTTATCAGAAAATTCTGAAAAATATTATCAGAAAATTCTGGAAAATATATATCGTCAGACGGTCAGACAGACATTATTCTGAACAACTTTTGCCGCAAAGAAAAAGTGAAATTCGCAACCGGTTTAGAGATAAAAATCAAAACGGAGAAAGAAGAAAAAAAAGAAGGAAAGAAAACGCATTTTTGTATGCACGTACCAACACGTACAAAAAAAAAATCATGCGTAGTACGGGGGGGCGTACTACGCATGTCCGCGTACATCGCATACAAAGGGATGCCCAGCGCGACAGGAAGACAGACAGCAATGGGTCCTGGACCGCTATGCTGACCTGACCCAAACTGTGTCGTCTCCTGGAGTATCACAAGCGAAAGAGGTGTTCGAATTGGGAGTTCAACTAGCTGAAGCCATTGTCGTGAGAGATCCTGATAAGAATTTTATAATGACATCCTGAATGAAACAAAGGAGGAGGTAGGGGACAGTGTGAACTTCATGGGTCTATAAATTTGGGCTAGAGCGACGGCCTACACACTAACAATCTGTGTCCAAGTTTTTTTTTGCAAAAAAATCAACACTAGAAATAAAATGATTGAGGGACTGTGCGACCCGGTAGATCCGGGGACCGTCGAAACTAAAGGTGTGGATCTAGGGAGGATTGCCATAGCTTTCTATGTGGACCTCTGCGCAACCAAAACCCTCCCCCCCCCCCTTCTTAACCAGCAGCAGAAACGTGACAGCCCATTAACAAATGATATCCTGTGTTGAGAGGGCCATAACCCAGGACCAATTGGAAATTTTGGACAGACCCGTTACCATGACTGAGTTGCAGATCACAGGAAAATATTTTCTGTACTGCCTCGTTGAGGGACTTTACGTTGTCCGGTATGTATCGTCCGGGTACAGACCGCCTGGTCCATGTGGAAACGCCTGTTTGTTAGATTGAGGATCCTGTTTGCCAGTGTTTTTGCCTTGATTCTGAAGCGGGTTTGAGTAGAGAAATTGGTCTGTGGTAACCTATCCCTGCTCCTCCAAATCATCCTCTGTGTATCAATGTGCTTGATCATCATGGTGGAGGATTGACTGCCACGTTGCCTCTTCCCTCTTGTTCCTCTCACTCTCAGCCTTGACTAAGAATGTCGTGAAGTCCAAAGGAAGAACTATTGATGCCCTGGATGTGCTACTCTTGGCAGGCTAGGTGGAAACGTTATTGAGTGATACGTGAGCCGGATGTTGTTTGCAGCTCCTCCACGTGGCCCTGAGTGAACCGTTTGCCTGTTGGCCTGGGGAGTCCCAATTCTTCCATCTCAGCCTGTCATTGACATTTCGAGCAATCTTGCCTCAGGCTATCCAATCCATATGGAAGGCTCTTTTCTTTTTTAAAGTTTTTTTTTCCTTTTTTTTTTTTCCCCCTCGGATACAAACTTCGCGGATCTGAGCTTAGCTGAAAGTTTGACAGTCCGTCACCTACACCGAATTCCAGTTCTCTACCATTCCGATCAGCAGGGCTAATGCCTCTTCCCTTGCATCCGCTGTCTTCTTGATGTGTGCATCTCCGTCTCTATATATGTTCCAAAGAGCCAGCTTCCTACAGTTGGAACAAGGTCTCCTTACTGCCCTTAAGGGTGCGGGTTTCTTCTTCTTCTTCTTCTTCTTCTTCTTTGTAAATAAGAAAGAGGCGCAGAGCTGACGGATCTTCAAGAAACAAACAAATGTGAAGGCAAGGCCTTCGTTCGGCAGAACAGAAATTCTTCTTCTTCTTCTTCTTCTTCTTCTTCGTCTTCTTCGTCTTCTTCTTCTTCTTCTTCTTCTTCTTCTTCTTCTTCTTCTTCTTCTTCTTCTTCTTCTTCCCGCTTCTTCTTCTTCTTCTTCTTCTTCTTCTTCTTCTTCTTCTTCTTCTTCTTCCCGCTTCTTCTTCTTCTTCTTCTTCTTCTTCTTCCCCCTTCTTCTTCTTCTTCTTCTTCCCCCTTCTTCTTCTTCTTNCCTTCTTCTTCTTCTTCTTCCCCCTTCTTCTTCTTCTTCTTCTTCCCCCTTCTTCTTCTTCTTCTTCTTCTTCTTCTTCCCCCTTCTGCTTCTCCTGCTCCTCCTCCTTCTGCTTCCCCTTCTGCTTCTCCTTCTGCTTCTCCTTCTGCTTCTCCTGCTCCTCCTTCTTTGTTGCCGTTGATCTGATTTGACTTTGCAGGGGCAGGCATTGCTTGGACATTTGACAGGGAGACTATTGCGCTATCGCCACTTTGGTCCGTCTTGATCTTCCTCCATCCCTTCATCTGTGGTTTCTCCCCATGCCCTTGTGCGTGTTCAAGGGGGGAACCTTTCTTCTGTGTACGTGGTTCCTCCCTTCTCTCACACGTGTGTGATGTTGTTGGGCTGAGTGGAGTCGGTGTCCTGCTGGTCAGGTCGTATCTTTTAGTCTTCCACTGCGCTACATTGTGTCCTTTTTGTATGTATATGCGTGTACATTGCTTGCTGATGCTTCATTGATGATGCATTGTCCATCCGTGTCCTTATCATCACTTCGCTGGTCCTTTGTCTCGACTGCACCACTCGGATTGTACCGAGGATGCATCAGCCAGACATGTCAGCTGTCCGTATAGTGGACACCAAATAAACCGACTGCAAAAAAAAACAAGTAAAGAAATGGATCAAAGGCCCGAAGGGGCCGTTTTTCTAACTTTTTCACTCGTGCCGGTGGACCGGTTCTGGACCGACGCTCCCCGGAATGGACAAGAAACCGGGACCATAAGGACCGGTTTATTGAAAAACAAAATAAAAAAATTGTGTTGTCAAAATAGAGTGGCACAACTAGAAGATGCTGTAACGGGACTGGCAGGCATGCGGTGGCTTGACTCATAGGGCTTGCAAGGAATTGGAAAGCAATCGGAAAGCAGGCAAGGAAGTTTATTACTGTGGCTATCAGCCAAAGCTTTGTGCCTTAACTGTTGCACGGCTTCGAGTGCGCAGAGGGACGTTCACCCACACCTTTGAGGTCGATGAGATGTTTGTTCTTTAGGGGTTGACGATGTTTGCTGTTTAGGTTATTTGAACTTACTTTGTTTTGGCCATCTATTTGTCCTCTTTCAATTTTGCAGGCCGGTTGTGTCCATTCCAGCGCCTTACTGTTGAGAACAGCGGAGGCTGTTGCGGAGGCAAACAATGTATCAGGGTCTCCATGGCCGCGAGATGTCAAATGCAGTGCACAGAGAACGGCGGTGATCAGGAACACGATTGGCAAAGAGTTGAGGGCGAATTATAGATCATGGACAAAAGCGCAGGAGTGGGTGGTGCTGGCGGATGTGAAGGCTCAGCAGCAGCTGCATCAACAGAACCTGTGGCAATTGCAGCAGACAAGAAACAGGCTGCTGATGATAATGAGGGAGCGCGAGCAGCTCTTGTTAGAGTACAGACCTCTCATACAGAACCAACAACTGTCTGCAGACCGCCGGGAGGGCCTTAGACGGATCTGCCAGGAGGCGATGGAGAGCTTGGCGCACCAGCATGAGTACCACGTCCGGCTGCAGCAAGAGGAAGAGCAGCTAATCTTACAGCAGAGAGAACACGAGGAGATCACACAGCATCAGGCTCTGGAACAAAGACTGCAAGACAGATTGATGCAGTTTCAGAACCTGAATCAGGCAGGTCATCGAAGGAAGCTCAACTCGTTGCGAAAGGTCACTAGCGCGTTGCCTTTCATTAGAATACAGGTGAGTGTGTTGGTTATGCACACATAAAAACTTAAAAAGAACAAATGGAAAGATGCCAAGGACAGTCTTCCTGATCTTTTTTTTTTTTCTTTTTTTTTTCTTTCGTTTTGAAGTTAACAAAAAAAGTTGGGCCATTTCCTCGATATTTGTGTGTGTCATCCGTGTGTATTGGCCATGCTAATCTTCTCTGTATCATTCTCATTTTTATCAGATGTCCTGAAGGATGTGAAAGGATTCACACTGCAGACACCCCAGTCCCTGCCCCAGGGTTCCGAAATGTCCCAGTCCCAGGCTGTCCCAGTAGGGTAGGTTGAAGGGTCCAGAGGCCGAAACGTTGTAGGTCGTTAGGTGTCGGTGCGGAAACATCATAGGCCGGTAGGAGTCCGTTCGGTACCCAACAAGAGAAGTTCAGTCCAGTCCAGTCCAACAGTCCCAAGCCCAGAAATTTGCAGCATGTTCCAGGAAAGTCCGGAAGCTACTGGAACAACGAAATGTTTGCAGCAGACAGGCCGCGACCGACCGGTACCGGTCTGAAGCAGGCCAAGCCAAGTCAAGTCCTATATTTAGCTGCTACAGTGCAGCGTCTCATCACTTGTTCAATTGCAAGATGCCGAAGCACTGCTGCTGCTTGTGCGTTAAGGCAACTTGGGCACTTCGTGCCTGGAGTAGGAAGAGGGAACGCGACAGTTACTCCATAGCTGGGGTAGGAGGAGGTAGGAGGTAGGGCGGCCATAACCGCCAGGTGTAAGCTTACCTGAGTGGGTGTATCCAGGGTGACAAGAGAGAGAGAGAGAGAGAGAGAGAGAGAGAGAGAGAGAGAGAGAGAGAGCGATCCAAGACAGAGAGGGAAGAGAAGGAGAGGGGAGCCATAGCCGCGAGTGTGTTGATTGTATCTCGGCTTTGGTTTCTCACGTGTGAACTCTCATGTGAATGTTCATAGCAATGGTTGCGAAGTTGAGCTTGGTGAGGACTTGGATCATTTCAGTGGTATCGGAGCTGGTTCCCGCTACACCTACTCGGAGTTCAGGCGCTGGCAAGAAGAAGGCCAGCGGGTAAAACAAGCAAAAAAAAAAAAAATCATGGCTACCATCCGGACATCCGGACAGGCTTCCAGACGGTCTGCGGTCCGGTGTCTGGACGCCGACCGTACGAGGCCCATCCGGAAGGGGCCAAAACCCCGAACGTAAAAAAAAAAGGGGGGGCACCCTAGACCTGTTCCTTGGGTCCAGGACGCCCCCCGAAAATATCTTGATGATTTATAGGGCCGGTATCGGCTGTACAGGGAGGCTGGACTGGCCCTTTTTCTACTTGCATCCTGGGCAGACTGTTGGAGGCAGAGCGCAGTTCCCCAGTGACGAAGGGAAGAAAGGGCGGATCTAGGCACTGCAGAGTGCGTTCCTGCCCACCCCCCATTGCCGCCACACGTGCGCGCACACACACACACACACACACACACACACACACACACACACACACACACAC